AAGCTGTGGTCGTCCAACCAGTGTTATACATTTACTATTGTTATTTCTAGTTAATATTTTTTTGGCAAGATTTTTGCCTACATTGGCAAAGAAGTTATTAACATAATTTACCGAATCTAATGGTGTTGCTTTTGCTTGTAATAAATCTGTATTACTAATTTTTGTTTGATTTAAATGCGCTATTCTTTTAATATTTCTCCAAAGACTTTTACTGTTATTGAGAGACATCTGCAGGACTTGTCTTTCATAACTCTGTTTTGCTTTTTTTATTATTTTAGTACAAAATTTACGATATCTCTTATATATAATTTTTTGAATTTCATTGTAAGCATCGGAATGCAACTTTTTTTGCAAATTATTGCGATTTCTAATACAACGCACAATGCCAGGTGTTATCCAAGGTTTTAAAATGCGTTTATTTTTTTGGAAGATGCACAATCTTTGTATTTTCTGTAATGATTTGCTCAATTTATTAACTAACATCTCTATAACTGTATGTGGATTGTCACAAAAAAGTAATTCAGTAAGATTATTTTGTAATAAGCTGTTAAAGGCACTTTTATAATCTGTAATTGATTTTATCTTTGTGCAATCATTTATTAATTTTAAGTTAGATAGGTTTAGTAGTATCATTGAGTGATCAGTAATTGTTGTAAGTAAGACAGCAATTTGAGCATAGACCTTACTTTGTGTTAGCTTTAGAATGAAGTGATCTAGGCAACTGGTTTCTCTTGTGGGTAAGTAGTGACCGGGTATTAAGCCGTGCATACTTAACATATTTAAATAATTTTCTCTGTTACTACATTCATATGAATTTTCATTTATTTTAGGTGCAATGTTAACGTTTATGTCGCCAGCTAAAATCATGATTTCTTTTGATTTTATGTTTTCTAAATGCAAACTTAACGAATTAATGAATTTATTGGCGTTTGTATTTGAAGGAGAGCGGTATATTCCCAAGATTGTATTGTTGTATACATCTATTTGTAAGCATGAAGCGTGTTCTAATTTAACTTCTTTAACCTTAGCATTTATAGTATTTTTGATATACACTACTACTCCATCACTCTGGTTGAGGTGACAGGTTGTAGCAAAATGAGTGTAGTTAGTAATGCATTGAATTGTTTTGTTGAGGCTTAGTCGGCATTCAGTCAAAATCAAAACATCAGGTTTAAATTTTAAATAGGATAGTGTTAAATTTAGGTCATCTATGTTACTATACACACTTCTTATATTTTGAGATATTACGGTTAAATCATTATTTTTCACAGTAATTTGGGAGGTCTTCAATGTCGCACTCAATAGCGTTTGCAATTTCAATTTTATCCAATTCTTTCCAGGTAATTAAAGAACTGTCCATTTCAAAAGTAGGCGTATTAACTGTCGTCTATATGTGTATACATATGTGTAAATACCTAATATACAATGTATATATTTATAGATAAAAAGATATGTTTGCATCCTAATATGTAAATTGCTTTTCTCGTATACGGTTCTAGATTATTAGAATTTTTCAATTTAAGAGTGAGCTGTATATTAATGATAGTATTATATATGATCAGTTTTTGTGATAGTGAAAGTGATAGGGTTTTAATAAATGCAAGTGTAAGCTGTGTGTAAGAATGTATAAGTTGTGTGTAATACATATAAGAACTGATGATTTGTGAATTAATTACAATGCTTAGAAAAAACTTACGAACTAAAAGAGATATAGAAAAAAATAAAGTAATTTCATTATTTAGAAAAAATTGCGCGTTTTGTTCTAGTCATGCGGTATGCAATAACTGGTGAACCTGGGCTTCGTTCTTTATGGTTATTATTTGAGATGTCTCATCTTTGCGAACATAAACTTTTCCGTAGGCAGTCCAACAAAATTTGTATTTTTTTGTTTTTACAAGATCTCGAGCTAGGAAGTGTAATCGTGTACTTTTAGCAGTTAGATGATCGGTTATGTATATGGGAGTATCTTCAGCCGTACGAAAGCCAAGGTGTTTTGCACAAAGTTTAGTTTTGTGCCTGTTATTAAAAGATTTTGCCATTTTTAATATGTTACTTTTTAGCAATGTTGACGAAGTCTCTACCACAATGGGAGTATTGCGGATATTTTCTCTTTTACTACGAATACGATATATATCTTTTATATCTGCTTTGTTAAGATTACTCTCAATACTTTTGGATAAGCACATTACCATGTCTATTAAGTCCTCTTTAGATTCATTAACTTTTTTAGGAACGTTTTTCATTTCAAAATTCATCTTACGGCTTCCCATTTGCATATCCTCAATTCTATCCTCCAGTATCGTAATATATTTCCTGTCTTCTTTTATTTGGTTTTCCAAATATTCAATTTTCTTCCTAAACTCCTCATTTTGTGCAGTAAGAAAAGTAATAGAGCTCTCGATGTTTTGGTTTGTTTGTTGTATATTCTTTAATGTAGGTGTAATTTTTTTAAGTTCTTGTTCTTGCGGGACAAGTAGAGTAGCTATCATTTTCTTAATTTCATCCTTGAAGTTATTCAATTCTATTGAAATGTCATCATCCCTACGGCGTTTGCTACGCATCGACACAAATTTAGGTGGCGTGTTCTCTCTTTGTCCCGCTTGGCATAAATCAGCTTCAGAGAAGGATTTATCCATATTTGAGTCTGGTAAAAGACAATAAATCTTGTCTAGTATAAGTAAATCACGAAGGTAAAAATCACTTAACGTAATGTGTGCGGGCGCCCTTATTTTTGTCGACGATTGTCTTATTAAATCAAATCGCAGTCACAATACGCAAAACGAAATATGTTTCCAGTGAGACGAGTTTAAACTCACACCGATAGGCGAAACACAAAACAAAGGTACCTTTAGTCGGATAATATGATGTGCAATAATTACCAATCAGGTAGAAGAAGGAGGAGCTATTTAATTGGCATACGCACAATAATGAATGAATTAAGTAATACTGTCTCCTTCTGATCTGTTTAGGTACTAGGACTACCGACGTTACTTTGCACATTCATTGAATTACACTGGTACTCTTCACTATTGTTTTCGTTGTAAATTCGTAAAACAAATAACACTCACGGAAACGGGGTACCAGGCCCGCAGAAGCGTTGAATTATTAGACGTTTTGTTGTACAAGCAAATACGATGTTGCTAACACTCACAGAAACAGGGGTACCAGGGTAGCAGAAGTGTTAAGTTCTTCGACGTTTTTGTCTTGTAAAATTATAATCTCCTATTATTTCAAACTGATTTACTTGGTAGATTTAACTTTGCTATTTTTTTTAAAATTAAGTTAACACTGACTTAAGTCACGTCTACACCTTGTGGCGGTCCGGAGGGAAGGGGAATATGTACCTTTTTTGTCAGAAACATTCCCAGTTTTCATCACAGCTTGATTGACCGCCGCGATAAAACTTAACTCATTTGTATAGAATAGAGAAATAAATAAACTAACAAATATTTATTTTCAGTCAGAATCCCTTCGAGTACGCGTAAACTACACGCCAAAGATTCATCGTAGTCAGATAAACGGTACAGGAATGCATAATAGACGAACAATACAAACCATCCACTTCATCCATTACAGTCTATAAAAGTCCGATGCTGAACAAAGGCCTGCCCATAGTTGCCTCATAGGAGAAATTCGCGTTTTGCAACCGTCGTTTATTATATTATGCTTGGCTGGCTATGGCTTATTCTCCTTCTGTCACCACTTTTTTTATAGAATGAGGGTGACAAACGAGCATACAGTTCACCTGATGGTAAGTGGATGCTGTGGCCCATAGACATCTACATTTAACTTTAATTAAGAACCAAAATGCAGATGTGTTGCCAGCCCTGAGGACTGAGATGGAAGGCCTCGTTTCCAGTAAAAAGGCTCTCCGATTCTCTACACTCACCATACGAAACACAACAGCATTAAGCTGTTATTTTACGCTAGTATTCTGTGAAGGCGTGGTCCTACCCCGGTTGAACCGACCCACTCGTGCTGCAACCACAACATAGCTGCAGCATGGCTCTACCACGTGTAAGCTTATGGCACCCACGGGACTATATGGGTTGTGAATATTCTTGTGCCACCACTACTTGGTAAAAATAAGCAATCAAATATATAATGAAGTAACATATCGATCTTTATTATTGTAGAAAAACTTCGAGAGCTTCGAGAACAACGCATTCAAATTCCATCGTCAGTAAAGGACGTATAGAAAACGAACAAACATATATTTATTTTCTGTCGGACCTTCGCGAGTACGCACTCACCAACTCTCCACAGTTTGGTCGTAATAAGTAGAGCACAAACAAGCAAATAATCAGTTTCATATTTTAATATATTGGCATTTAACTGCATGTTTAATGAAGGAAAATTTCTATGATAGTTTATGACGAATTTCAAATTTGTTTGGTTTCTTTGTTTATTATGTAAATGCTATATTAATTATAATTTTATAATTCTTTTTTTAAATAATAAACAGATCTAAAATAAGTTTTTAACATAGTTCTTTCATATATAATTTTTAAATGTAATTAGAACATAAAATAACATCTAAAAAATCGATACACTGAAAGTTTAGAAATTTCATTGCAGTTTAATAAAATTATTATAATTCTAACAATTATTATAATTAAAACAGGACAGAGTATTTTGTTTGACTCTCTATATTTTTATCTATTTAAAATATGAATCCATTTTCTATATACGTCCTACTGTTGGGAATTGCCTCCTTACATTTCTGACAGAGTTATGGAGTAATCAAACTACCATGCTGCTTCAATGCGTTTTGAATGAAGAGACACAGATTTCTTTAGAATTTCCTTCACTGCCGAACATATGTTTCAAAATTAGCACTCAAAATATTAATTATAATTTTCATTAGTGCCGGATATCGAACCCGACTTGCTCGCGTACTATGAAATTTACGGCAAGCGTTGAACTGAGGTGCCACTTGAGTTCTAAATACATAATGAATGGAATAATCCTATGCCATTTGTTTTTTAAGTATTGAGATCTTATGATAAAGTGTCTGCTGCCTCTGATACAGCTCGCCATACGTCTTCTGCGATAGTTGTAATTTCTTCTCTCGGTATGATAACGCTATCCTCACCTCTCGGCACTATGTCTATGTTAAATGTGTACAGGACACCATTTTTTCGCATAAAATCTGTACTTGTCCCTGATGCTCTATCGCCATATATTTCTGAAGCAGTACCCAAATTATAACTTTCTTGCATCGCTTCAATCATATTAAGTCCTAAAAGGTGCTGTTGAACGAACATTCCACTAGCAGCTCTCTCGTATTGCCAAGGGTAAGTAATGTAGCCTTCATTGTTTTGCAAAGAAACATAAAGGCGAATTCTTTCTCCATAATTATTTAGTAAAGACTTAATTAGTCGAGTTTCAACCTCAGAAAAGGCTTCAGTGCCACCATAAAGGTGACTGCATGGACTTGAGCTGGAGTCAAAGGAGAGCCAGTCGATGTCAAAGTTGCGATTTATGTTAACTCCGGGACAAATGGCGCCCAAGTAACTCTGGGTGTTTCTTGACTTCATCCATAACCGCAACTGAAAAAGAATTTTTTTTACAATTTATGGAAATTATACATAAACAACAGCAATCGAAGTGACAAAAATATTGTTTACATTTAATTTCCTTGCCATATAGCAGTATACAAGGCTACACAAGGTATACAAGGCAGAATACAAGGCTGTGAACTCAAGACTTCTCTGGGTTCGCTTCAAAATGGGACTGACGAAATTATTCCTTTTAGCTGTTTATGCGCCGGTAGCTTCGTCGTCCAGGGCTGAGCTGGAAGAGTTTTGGGAGAATGTAAGAGAAGTTCTAGATTTGGTTAAGGGAAACGAAAGAACTGTTGTATGTGGTGATTTGAATGGATGGGTAGGTATCGCTCGACCAGGATACGAGTCGGTGCTTGGAAAGTTTGGCGATAAAATGGTTAATGATGCTGGCAAGCTTATACTGGCTGTATGCAAGGAAAAGGGTCTTCTTGTGATAAACACAATGTTTAAAAACAGGAAAATCCATATGTACACTAGAGAAAGAAAGAATGAGAGAAGTGTGTTCAGAGGTGCTGACCTGGGAATGGATCATTATCTAGTAATTACTAGATTTAGGGGTTTGTTCGCGGGTTGGCACTACCGGACGGCAGTAACAGAACCACAGTCGGTCTGTCGCATCCGAAGCTGGAAGCTTCAGGAAGCGGATACTAGGGACAAATATCACACGAGGGTAGCCGAAAAGCTTGACACCATCGATGGCAGGAAAGAATGTGTGGAGAGAACATGGCAGAACCTTAGGGATGGAATGGTAAGTTCAGCGGAAGAAGTATGTGGTACGACAAAAAGAGGTAGTAGTAAAAGAAGAGATGCATGGTGGAATGATGAAGTGAGGGAAGCTGTAAAAAGAAGAAAAAAGCATGGTTAGACTACTTGGCCTCTAGTAAAGATGAGCATATGAGAGAGAAGATGAAAGAAAGATAAAAGCTGCAGAAAGTTCGTGCGAAAACATTGATTGAGGAAGTACGTGAAAGGTGTAGAATAGAAGCGGACGAGAGGTTGTCGCACAACTTTAGGGAAAACTCCAAACTCTTCTGGAAAGAGGTTGGAAGGTCCCGGAGTGGTGCGACAGCCTTAAGAATGAACAAAGTGCTTTCGAGAACCAATGACGTCCTCTCAGAAAAATCGGACGTCATGCAGCGATGGAGTGAATTTTATAGAGAAGTGTATGCGTGTCATGATCTTAGTGAAGGATCCGGGGGTGACGCGGTGACTGGCACGCCAGACACGGACCTCGATGACACTGAGGTCATCAGCATGAAAGAGATTGAACGTGCGATTCGATGTTTGAAATGTGGTAAGGCTGCGGGACTAGACAGAGTTACTGCTGAAATGGTCAAGTACGGTGGGCCTCGCGTCTGGGATAGCTTCCATCTGCTGTGCAATTTGTGCTGGCGGACGGGAGATGTCCCGGATGATTGGCGATCCGAGGTCATTGTGCCTTTATATAAAGGTAAAGGTTCACATTTTGACTGCGGGTGCTATCGGGCGATCAGCTTGACCAGTTTAGCAAGTAAAGTTTATTCGAAGGTTTTGACACGTAGGATGCAAGAGAAATCGGAAAGATTCTTATGGGAGGCACAATGCGGATTTAGACCTGGAAGAGGATGCACAGATCAAATGTTTTCTCTCCGCATGATCGCGGAAAAGCTTCTGAGTGTTAACCAGAGGATTTTCTGTGCTTTTGTGGATCTGGAGAAAGCATTTGATAAGGTTATAAGGAAGAAAATGTGGGAACTGTTGCCGGGATACGGTGTGGATGGTCGATTGCTAAGGGCTGTACAGTCACTTTACTATGACTGTAAAACCTGTGTGCGGGTAGGACATGACCTGTCACCCATGTTTAGCGTCCAAGCGGGCGTAAAACAGGGTTGTGTCATGTCTTCCTGGCTGTTCATAATGTATCTCGACAGCTGTTTACAGAAGCTGAAAAATAGCTGTTTTGGTGTGAATTTGGGTGACATTAAAGTAAATTGTCTGCTGTATGCTGATGATGCAGTGCTTATTGCACCATCAGAAGTAGAACTGCAGGCATTAGTCACGTGTATGAAAGAGGAATGTGAAATTAAAGGTCTCCTTTTGAATGCTAATAAAACTAAGGTTCTGGTATTTGAAAAGGACGAAGAGAGAACGAAATGTGAAATATGGATAAATCAGGAACGTCTAGAACAGGTAAATGAAATTGTATACTTGGGGAGTGCTTTCAGCCGGGATGGAAGATGTGATTTAGATGTGGATAGGCGCGTCGCTGCCGGAAACAAAGTCAATGGTGCCCTGAATGAATTAGTCAAAAGGCAAGGCATGGTGAAGAGTGCACGCCTTACAATACATAACGCAGTGTTGGTACCGACTTTGTTATATGGCAGCGAAACCTGGGTATGCCAGAAGAAGCATAAAAGCAAGTTGAATGCAGTGGAGATGCGATCTCTTCGTAAAATGTGTGGCGTTACCATAGCCGATCGAAAACGAAACGAAGAGATTCGCAATATGGCAGGATTGAAAGATGACCTTATCACAAAAATTGATAGGGGCGTACTCCAATGGTTTGGGCACGTCGAGCGAATAAGTGAAGACCGAATGGTGAAGAAAATATATAGAGCGAAAGTAAATATTAAAAGGTGTCGAGGTAGACCGAGACTAACTTTCGAAGACCATGTGAGCAAATTGCTCGAAGAGGGGAGGGTCAAGAGTACTCGGATACCTAGACGTGCATGTATGAAGAAGTTAATGAACCTGAAAGAAGCGAAAGAGGTATGTAAGGATCGTGACACTTGGCGATCTGTTCTCTCTGGCTACCCCGTTCGGGATTGTGCGTGAAGATAAGTAAGTAAGTAAGTAGTATATAGCAGTGAATGAAAATCTATTATCCCGTGGGTGTCTTAAGAGGCGAAAGATTGAAATGAAACCGGAGATAACATCTCAAAATTCTACGATAGCCAACTCGTCTTCTAAACGCAGCAATATAAAAGTTTATATTTTTTATATTATATTTACAATAGCAAATTAATTTTTTTTGTAATTTTTTTACAGCAAATATCTCTTTCTATACTTGTACTTTATACTTTTAATAAACTCTGATAAATGATGATGATGATGATGATCAAGTTGTGTTAAAGATTTGATCCATGTTGTAGTATCTATATGAAATATTTAATACTATAGTTTCTTACATTTGTATGTGTATATTCATATCCATCTGGATTTAAAACAGGAATAATGATCCATTCATAATTATTAATAAATCTAATATTACTTTGGTCTAATAATTTATTAACAATATTCAATGATGTCGGAATAGTGATCCATTCTCTTGGATTAATGCCAGCTTCGATGATAATTATCGGTTTTTCACTTGTCGAAGCCTGGCTTGTTACTTTAATGTATATTAAAGATCTCCCTTCTGCTGTTAAAGCAGCATCAATTACTTTTAAATTTATATCTGTTGAATTTTCGTACGTAGTCTACAAAGTCTTGATGTAATTCAATATCTGTGAAGAAATAATAATTTAGCATGTTTAATTATTGACGTTAAGGACTAACTTTAACAAAAATGATTGTATTTCGCTTTAAATGATGATATAGTTGTTTTGTTCCTTCTGGGTTGGTAGTGTCGTCTAACCTATTTTAACACACTGTCGTGTACCAATTTAGATAGTGATAATTAGTGCAAAAATTAGCTATATGGCATTCTATCGTATTCCGTAACAATGACGAAATGTCGTATCGTATATAAGATTACAATCGTGTAATCTGACTGACGAACAAAGCTTTGACGTTCGACTGGTCGAGGAGATTCTAATATTCTGAACTGGCATTTGGTAACATCACCGGCGCGAAGCTATCTTACTCGGTCACTTACACATTCGTTGTGTGCGTATTGGAAACCTTCCCCGACAATACATGCTAACAGACGGATTTTCGATAAAGTGATAGACTAACGTTTGACCAATTTTACATCGTACTTTAAGTAATGAAAATGAAGATAATAAAATTAAAGATTTCTATAATGATTTCTTATATTTACGCAAACACTATACACTGATAAAACTACTTTTACGAATTTTATCGCGTTTTATTTATTTTAACAATAATTAAATAGCTGAAGGTACTCCGGGTTAACTTTGACATTGGGACGTCTGTCACCTCAGTCCCCCGTGACCATGGGTGCTGGAAAGCACCCGAAACGTTTTTTTTACTGCAAATATCTCTTTCTATACTTGTACTTTATACTTTTAATAAACTCTGATAAATGATGATGACGATGATGATCAAGTTGTGTTAAAGATTTGATCCATGTTGTAGTATCTATATGAAATATTTAATACTATAGTTTCTTACATTTGTATGTGTATATTCATATCCATCTGGATTTAAAACAGGAATAATGATCCATTCATAATTACTAATAAATCTATTATTACTTTGGTCTAATAATTTATTAACAATATTCAATGATGTCGGAATAGTGGAAATCCATTCTCTTGGATTAATGCCAGCTTCGATGATAATTATCGGTTTTTCACTTGTTGAAGCCTGGCTTGTTACTTTAATGTATATTAAAGATCTCCCTTCTGCTGTTAAAGCAGCATCAATTACTTTTAAATTTATATCTGTTGAATTTTCGTACGTAGTCTCCAAAGTCTTGATGTAATTCAATATCTGTGAAGAAATAATAATTTAGCATGTTTAATTATTGACGTTAAGGACTAACTTTAACAAAAATGATTGTATTTCGCTTTAAATGATGATATAGTTGTTTTGTTCCTTCTGGGTTGGTAGTGCCGTCTAACCTATTTTAACACACTGTCGTGTACCAATTTAGATAGTGATAATTAGTGCAAAAATTAGCTATATGGCATTCTATCGTATTCCGTAACAATGACGATATGTCGTATCGTATATAAGATTACAATCGTGTAATCTGACTGACGAACAAAGCTTTGACGTTCGACTGGTCGAGGAGATTCTAATATTCTGAACTGGCATTTGGTAACATCACCGGCGCGAAGCTATCTTACTCGGTCACTTACACATTCGTTGTGTGCGTATTGGAAACCTTCCCCGACAATACATGCTAACAGACGGATTTTCGATAAAGTGATAGACTAACGTTTGACCAATTTTACATCGTACTTTAAGAAAATTACATATTACAATAAGTAATGAAAATGAAGATAATAAAATTAAAGATTTCTATAATGATTTCTTATATTTACGCAAACACTATACACTGATTAAAACTACTTTTACGAATTTTATCGCGTTTTATTTATTTTAACAATAATTAAATAGCTGAAGGTACTCCGGGTTAACTTTGACATTGGGACGTCTGTCACCTCAGTCCCCCGTGACCATGGGTGCTGGAAAGCACCCGAAACGTCGGGTATTAAAAATAAAATAAATAAAACGCGATAAAATCCGTAAAAGTAGTTTTAAAGATTTCTAGTTTATTTTTATATTATACAAGTAAAGCTCTTGGATTTTAAAGTCTCTTTTGACATTGCGCAACAATGACAAAAACCCTTGACCACGACAATGGTCTTCCCTTTTTTTTTACAGCTAAAACTTAAAGGTGAAGGTACTTATAAAATATTAAGATATTCAGCTGTAAAGTTGGTGCGGTAACAAAAATGTTAATGAAAAAAAGTACAATAAAACTTATATCGTTATAACGATAATAATCATCGCAACTGAATGTTTTGTCTTCTTCGTTCCTGAAAGTCCTCCTTGAGACTTCCTCTTTCCGCGACAAGAACCTGTAAATAATTTATTTAGTGCTAGTTACACGTCGTGTAGTGTAGCTATAAGAATATCCACTGCTCCTTATCGTCCCGAGAGGAAATGAAACAGGAGATGGGCAGCACCATCTTCCTGATAACAACCCAAAATAATAAAAAACTGCTGTTGCCAACTCGCTTGCCAAGCTTGGCAACTATGGCAATATCCCCCCATCTGGCAATCTATGTAAGGCCTATATTCAGCAGTGGACTTTAGTAGGCTGTAACGACAGCGGCGGGAAGGAACTCATGTTCCATCTCCTACAGCACCAGCTGAATTATTATCTGCAACTTTAAATACTGATTTACCAACTGTTCGGCGGTGAAGGAAAATAGGGCAAAGAAACCTTCATGTCTGGCGAATAAAATACACCTTGTACTTGAGCATCGCCACGGATTAAACGCTTGATAACTCTATCAGTAATGTGACTAGGCCTGTGTAGAAAATAACCTATATTTTACAGCTGGTTTGGAAGTTCTTAAAAGAACCACTTAGAGACAGAATTTAGAAATATGAAATTTTACAATAATAATGAACAATTTTTATTACTATCAATAATTTTAGGCACAACTTAGTAAAGATTTTCTAATAGCTACAAGTTATTTATGTATTTCTTAATAATACAATTATCAATTACTATCTATTAAATGTCGACGCTTAGTATAGATTTTCTTCTTCTCTCCTTAGATTGCATCATAGGTTGAAAATATCCCTCTTATTATAATGTAATCGTATTGTGGTACAATTTATCAGTAGGATACTATAGTAGTGGCCTATGGTTGCGACGTGCGTGTTGCCAGTGATGACTTACGGATCTGAGACGTGGTCCTTCACCGCTGGCCGTATGAGGACGCTCAAGGTCGCTCAGCGAGTTATGGAGAGGGCTATGCTCGGAGTTTGACTGCGTGATAGACTCAGAAATGAGGATATCCGCAGTAAAACCAGAGTGACCGACATAGCCCAACGGATTAGTAAGCTGAAGTGGCAATGGGCCGGTCATATAGCTCGAAGAACCGATAACCGATGGGGAAGAAAGGTTCTCGAGTGGCAGCCTCGTACCGGTAGGCGTAGTGTAGGACGACCCCCCACTAGATGGAGTGACGACCTGGTAAGACATGCAGGAAGTCGATGGATGCAGGTGGCTCAGGACCGTGCTTTGTAGCATTACTTGGAGGAGGCCTATGTTCAACAGTGGACTTGTGAAAGGCTGTAATGATGATGATGAAGATGATGGTTGCGACGCTTTATAGGCAACAGTCAACGGCAGCTTTTATTATTATAAGCTATTATCTAAAACATTGTGCTCTCCTGTTTTAATTTCCCTCTGTCATCTCTTACGATACCTACGGAATGATATGGGGTAGTGGATTCTTTAAACCACCAGTACATGGGGATGAGTATCATAATTACACCTTTCTAAAATTTTTATTCAATTACATTTTTTAATGGCGCATAATATTTTCATATAAAAGCACATAAGAGCCATGATAGCTAAGGGGCTTAGAATCCGCTGTAAATTTCACAGTATGCGAGCAACCCGGATTCGATTCCCTTCATCAACAATGAAATCATTAATTTCAATTTTAAGTGCTGATTTACCACGCTACCATTTTTAGGAAAATATCGCGAGAATACTATCTTGCATGGGAAATAAGAAAAAAATATTTTAAAGATATGTAAATTTCGCCAACACGCATAGGACTGCATCTCGACGTCCTCCTTCCGATACGATTTCCTTGCTCTTAAATCCTCTCAGAAAGGAGAGGCGGCCTGTGCCCAGCAGTGAGTCGTCTATAGGTTGTAACTTTAACTAACTTTAACACATTTTCTAGGATTTTGCCGTAATATAAGTTTTCATACATTAAAATGCTCGCCCAGACTTAATAGTTGCTCTCACAGAATACCAGCGTAAAATAGCAGCTTTATGCTATTATCTTTCGTTTGGTGAATATAGAAAACCAAAGACCCTTTTTATTAGAAACGAGGCATTTCATCTTAGTCCTCCGGGATGACAACGCATCTGCATTTTGATTCTTAATTTGTTTGAAAAATTGTAATGTGAATTAAGAATAAATGTAAACCACTTACCATCAGATGAACCATAGAATACTATAATACATACATAATAGAACGGGGGAGTGGGCGGAGCCCGTGTAACCCCTTAAATGTCACTAACACGTCAATTCAAATATTAGGATATTAGGATTACAGACACGACTTTTATATAGACTTATTATAATAATAATAATAATAATGAGGCTGTACTTGCCGCGGAAGCATGGTGGTCGTGGCTTCTTGAGCGCGCTCACCATGCATAATCGCGAAGTGTGCAGCCTCCGTGATTACTTCCTTGCGAGATCGGATGATCCATTCTATAAGGACGTCATTTCTTGTGATAAAGGACTTACCCCTGTATCCTTAGCCAACGAGCAATGGCAAGACCCGGCAGTGCAGAGCATTTCCGACCGGGAGACCGTATGGAAGGAGAAGGAGCTCCACGGGAGGTTCTACAAGGCTCTACATGAGCCTTTAGTAGACACAGTAGCCTCCCTCCACTGGCTACGCTTTGGTGATCTCTTCGGGGAAACCGAGGGTTTTGTCTGTGCAATACAGGATCAGGTTATTAAGACCAACAACTATCGGAGATACATCCTAAAGGATGGCACCGTCGACATCTGTCGAGCTTGTCGCCATCCCGGTGAGTCACTTAGGCATGTTATCTCCGGTTGTTCGGCGCTTTCTAACTCACTTACGAGTACTTGCACAGGCACAACCTAGTAGCCAGAATTCTACACCAGGAGCTCGCTCTGAAATACGGTCTCGTGGATCGGAAATTGCCGTATTACAAGTACTTGCCGGAAGCCGTGCTCGAAAATGATCGCGCCAGGCTCTATTGGGACCGGGCCATCATCACAGACAGGACTATTCTTGCGAATAAGCCTGATATTGTGCTGATGGACCGGGCACAGTCAAGGATATTTTTGGTCGACATTACCATTCCGTATGACGAGAACCTCGTGAAAGCCGAAACAGACAAGCAAACAAAATATCTGGACCTGGCTCACGAGGTGACCGACATGTGGGGTGGTCTGCCGACCGAAATTATTCCTGTAGTCGTCTCTGCAAACGGGCTAATCCCAGTCAGCCTCTCGGGTCATCTGAGGCGGCTGGGACTACGTGGCGGACCGCTCCAGGTTCAAATGCAGAAGGCGGTGCTCCTCGATACCGCCCGCATCGTCCGCCGGTTTCTTTCCCTTTCCCCCTAACCCTCGGCCGTTTGGTCTCCCCTGCCGAGGGCCTCCATCTGGTTGGGCTTTTACTTATTTATGTACTTTTATATTTATTTTATGTTATTGATATTTATGTATATTTATCTTTTCATTTTCATTTATAATTATATATTTATAGAACCCAACCAGATGAGAAAACTATATAGATACCCCACATAATAATAATATTCCACAACTATCACACAACGCCATCTAGTCCCAAGCTAAGCAGAGCTTGTGTTATGGGTACTAGGCAACTGATAAACATACTTATATATTTCTAAATACATAAATATTATAGATAAATTACACCCAGACACAGAACAAATGATCGCGCTCATCACACAAACATTTGTCCTGGGTGGGAATCGAACCCACGACCTCCGGCATAGCAGTCAGGGTCACTAACCACTAGACCAACAGGCCTGTCAAACACGTATAAATGTCAACATGAGATGTGTTTTGACGTTAAACGTACAATCGTTTCCAAATTTTGCATGCAAATAATTTAGAAAATGCCAAATTGCACGCTATTTACAAATAAATAAATAAATATGTATTAAAATCCGTCTGTCAACACAGCGAATCGGGTTTGTAGTAGTGATTAACTGATAATACGACGTAATTGCTTGTATATGTGCTCCCGGCGACGCCTTACCTTGTACAAAATAAGGTTGATAGCCATTCTATTGTGTATTATAGTATTCTATGAGATAAACTGAGTGCTCCTATGTCGTCCTTATTCCATGAAAATCGACTTTGTATTTAAATCGATACTAAATAACTAGATTGTAAACATACTCGAACACATCTTCAATCAAAATATCTTTAGCTACGCCTAATTCAGTTAGCTTCTCTTCGAACCACTTAAAGTGTTATGGTGGTACCATTGCTTGACCAGTTATATTAAACTTTTTTGATGGTTTTCGCCAATAATCAATGAGATCACTTTTGAGTATCTCAAATTTGTGCTGCTGCTCTTCGGTTTCAAGCTTAATATTGTATACTTTGAACCTGATAGAAAGATATAATATATGTTATTAAGATATAATATACGTAATGCTCACGCCTGTAACATACAGGTGTACGCTGAGACTACGGGCTTACATTTGTCACAATTTTACAACATCTCCTGTTGTCTCCAAATTTTTGTCAACAGCATCATGATGATCTAATATTTTCTCATAATGTTTACTAGGATTGACATAAAAGCAACTATCTAATAAACGAGTACGTTATGGACCAAGTTATTAATATGGCAATATTCATAATGCCCAATATGAATAGGCAATTTGATAAAAACTATTGAAATAATTAATTTGACCAGGCTTTATGATAAAAGTTCGCTTTATATTTGTCAAAGTATTAAAAGGACAGTTTAGACTAGGTTAGGTTAGGTTTTCTTTATAACCAAACTTTATTCTCGCCAAAAGTGTTACTCGTATTTTAATGATTTCTTACATTTACGCGAATACTACACATTGAATAATTTTTTGGAATTTATAACTTTTAATTTTAATATTTTTAACTCCCGACGTTTCGGCCACTTTCCAGCACCCATGGTCATGGGGGGGGACTAATGTGTTTGACGTCATAGTTAACGAATGTTACCTTCAAATTTTAATTATAAATTTTTGTTCCGATCTACGCAGTACGAGCTCACAGTATCTTGAATTCTTGCAGTAGTATGCTTGGACTTGGATTTTTATGTTATTAATTATGGGATACCAAGCAGATGTTAGCATCCAGCCATCTTCTATTAAAATTAGGATGTTTATTAATTTCAATAGCCTAGCGAATTATACATATACATATACATAAACACTCACGCCTGTCACCCAGAGGCGTAGGCAGAGACTACAGACTTCCATTTGGCAGGATCCTGACACACCTCTCTCGCCTCCTTCACATCCATATACCTATGCATACATGCTCGTCGGTTAAGGGTACTCCTAATTTGGCCCGTTTTCAATAAATCGCCAATTTGGTCGATAAATTTTCGCCGAGGACGTCCCTTTCCGACTCTGCCATTCACTTCTGCAACATAAATTTTCTTTGTCACTTTTTCCTCATTCATTCTTTCCACATGACCAACCACCAAAGCATTCCTTTCTTAATCCTGGTCACAACATCATCTTGAGCGAATCATACTACGTAGCAATCGGTGTTCTTTTGCGAGGATTTGTAATCTATCAAATAGGATTTAATTGTTGGACGATCCTGATCATGTTGACATACTGCAGACTTTCCGGAGCGCCTATTCTTTACATCAGCGTTGTGTTCTTTCCGAGGATTTTATTGATCTTTAGTGCACTCTATGTAAAGAGATTCATTCACATTCACAATCAAGCTTGTACACTCCTGCATCTTGTAGAGGGATGCATTTGACGGATTGTAGAAACTGACTTATCTTCTTCAGCGGTTTATAGTATGTTCTTACGGAAGCCCGTTTCAAGATGTAACCAATCTTATCTGTGACTCATCTGACATATGATAGTATAGCAGGCACAGGCGCGACTGTTGCCGGTTTCACTCTTAACTGTGAAGGAGGCGCGGAACCCGAACTTGTTGTCGTGTAAAACTTGTTGATGATGATGTGTTGAAGTTCAGCGGTTAGGTCTTTACTGTCACAAACCCCTTGTGCTCTCTGAAACAAAGATCTTCCCACGGTAGCTAACCGTGTGAGATAGTGGCGAGATTCACCGTTTAAATATTGGTTAATATGAGTCTTTTTAGGGTTCCGTAGTCAACTAGGAACCCTTATAGTTTCGCCATGTCTGTCTGTCCGTCTGTCCGTCCTCGCTTAATCTCTGTGACCGTTAGCACTAGAAAGCTGAAATTTGGTACCAATATGTGTATCAATCACGCCGACAAATTGGTAAAATAAAAATTGGAAAAAAATGTTTTATTAGGGTAGCCCCCCTATACGTAAAGTGGGAAGTGATTTTTTTTTAATTTCAACCCTAACGTGTGATATATTGTTGGAAAGGTATTTAAAAATGAATATGGGTTTACTAAAATCATTTTTTGATAATGTCAATAATTTCGGAAATAATCGCCCCAAAAGTAAAAAATAATGTGTCCCTCCCCCCCCTTTAACTTTTGAACCATAAGTTTAGAAAATATGAAAAAAATCTGAAAAGTAGAACTTTATAAAGACTTTCTAGGAAAATCATTTTGAACTTGGATGGAAACAACAGTACCCACTACCGGGAGCAGTTGCAGGAGCGCGGAGCGCTGCTGGAGCGCGAACATAATGGATACCCACCTTTAAACTCATAAGTGGGAACACTTATTGTGACAGACGGGAAACTACGGAACCCTACACTAAACGTGGCCCGACACGCTTTTGCCCGTTTTTTTCTATACAAAATATGACTGATGGTGTTTTTAGGATTTCGAATGACTAAAACTTCCAGGAAAGCTAAAAATTATGTGCTTCTAACTTCATAGTGAATTGAACTTTAGAATTTGTGTAGTTAAGGTGGTCGAAAAATGCCAAAAAGTAACTTTGTCTCATAGTAAAATTGTGAAAGTTTCGTCTACGTACCACTTGTAGAATCTGAAATACACAGGTGCAGTGAGAAGGGCTTTCTCCTCAAAGTCCTCCATGAATATATCAGTGACAATGGGAGATTCAGGTGAGCCCATCGCCATAACATCTACTTACTTATAGATTTCTTCCTTTCACAATAGATAGCCAGTTGTGAGACAATGTCTGAGTAGTAATGTACGAGTATATTCTGCCGGCCTGTTGTTTTTTTCTTGCTTTGTCACAATTGTTTCGTAGTCACAATTGAGATGCTGATGACTGAACATCAAAACTGACGATAGTTTCATTGTCATCAAGATGTAGGTCTTTTATCACACATACAAGATGATATGAATCCTTTGTATCTCTTGCGTATCCTCCTAATGGTGACAGTATTTGTGGTAAATATTGAGCTAATCTATATGTTGATGAATCAATTTTGATCACTATGGGTCGTAGTAGAGTGTACGGTTTGTATATTTTAGGAAATCCAAGCAACTTCGGTGGTTTGGTACACGATGGTGTTATCTAATTTACGTCGAGATGTAATTTTTATTAGATCTCTAGTTTTTTTAATCACATTGGTTGTAGGGTTTATTTTGATCTTATTGTGCGTACTTTACAAACTGAAGTGGCAATGGGCTGGTTATATCTATCACAAAAATGGCTACCGTTGAATTAGACTTGTCAAAATGTTCTCCACTGGTAACTGTATTGAGGTACAGGTTTTCCACAATTTTAAAGTTAGATAAAGAGACGATTTGCGCTAGGCGACTTGTGCCAACTGAATGCGTAAAGCGGAAGATCAGTCTCAGTGGCGCTTCTTGAGTTATGCCTACTGCAGCAGTAATTCTTTATATATAATAAGTACATTAAACGTGATAAAATCCAGTTTTATTCAAATTTAGCTTCATTCGACATTATAAAAATTATTTAATTCTTTTCCCTGCCGAAATCCACTTGAAACTGTTCGCGTAGAAAGGAACGAATTTAAAGCGGTGTCCTGAAGGAAACCGTAAACCAATAAGAAGTATTTCTTATTTTCAAATGCTTAACGATGAAATGAGATGGGACATATTGCACTTATCAGGATGTTTTTTCTCACCGGTCTAGTGATTAAATACAAATCACAACGACAGTCATTTATATCCACAGTTCGGTACACATCTTTCTACTACTTTGCTAAAAGGCATGCATAAAATAATTTGTATAAAAAAGAGTGGGATCTCATGTGATGGTATCTAATCAATCCAGCTGCTCATCATAGACTTGCCTCGTTGGTCGTTGGTCTAGTGTTCGTAGACGCGGTTGCTGATCATGGGGAGCTCGTTCAAATCTCGGGTTGGCACAAAATCAATTATGGGGATTTTTACTTTACTTTACTTTACTTATCTTCACGCACAATCCCTAACGGGGTAGCCAGAGAGAACAGATCGCCAAGTGTCACGATCCTTACATACCTCTTTCGCTTCTTTCAGGTTCATTAACTTCTTCATACATGCACGTCTAGGTATCCGAGTACTCTTGACCCTCCCCTCTTCGAGCAATTTGCTCACATGGTCTTCGAAAGTTAGTCTCGGTCTACCTCGACACCTTTTAATATTTACTTTCGCTCTATATATTTTCTTCACCATTCGGTCTTCACTCATTCGTTCAACGTGCCCAAACCATTGGAGTACGCCCCTATCAATTTTTGTGATAAGGTCATCTTTCAATCCTGCCATATTGCGAATCTCTTCGTTTCGCTTTCGGTCGGCTAAGGTAACGCCACACATTTTACGAAGAGATCGCATCTCCACTGCATTCAACTTGCTTTTATGCTTCTTCTGGCATACCCAGGTTTCGCTGCCATACAACAAAGTCGGTACCAACACTGCATTATGTATTGCAAGGCGTGCACTCTTCACCACGCCTTGCCTTTTTACTAATGCATTCAGGACACCATTGACTTTGTTTCCAGCAGCGACACGCCTGTCCACATCTAAATCACATCTTCCATCCCGGCTGAAAGCACTCCCCAAGTATACAATTTCATTTACCTGTTCTAGACATTCCTGATTTACCCATATTTCACATTTCGTTCTCTCTTCGTCCTTTTCAAATACCAGAACCTTAGTTTTATTAGCATTCAAACGGAGACCTTTAATTTCACATTCCTCTTTCATACACGTGACTAATGCCTGCAGTTCTGCTTCTGATGGTGCAATAAGCACTGCATCATCAGCATACAGCAGACAATTAACTTTTATGTCACCCAATTTCACACCCAAACAGCTATTTTTCAGCGTCTGTAAACAGCTGTCGAGATACAGTATGAACAGCCAGGAAGACATGACACAACCCCGTTTTACGCCCGCTTGGACGCTAAACATGGGTGACAGGTCATGCCCTACCCGCACACAGGCTTTACAGTCATAGTCATCGGGATTTTTCTGTCAAGAAATTCTCAGTAGCAGCCCTGAGTCATGAATTTGGTGATGTTTCACCCCCATGCCTCGGAAAGCACGAAATGCCGTTGGTTTTGCATCTGATCTCTCTCCGGTCTTGTTGGCTTACCGTCTCATCGCTACCACACTATGAGAGTAAAAGAGTAGATAGTGAACCTGTGGTTTTGCACTTGGACACTATAGTTCTGTCCAGCGCAGGTGGCCAGTCTCTGTTAAAACTTACCGCCGTGACCGAAATTCGGTCTGAACGACATTAAGAACAACAAGCATTAAGCAGAGAAGTTACAGGTGCAATGCTGGCCTCTTAAAAATGGAGGGTTTAATAGTATATGCATTTGCATCAAGAATACTAATATATTGATAAATTCACACTTACCCAGAGTACTCTTCATTTTTGGCATATGCATTTGAAATGGTAACCTGACACATTACTAAAAAAATAACAAATTTAATCAGTCCCATTTTAACATTACAATGCAGCTGTAACACGACTTTAAACAGTTGTGTCTTAGGTTTGATTACAGATTCTGGACATTGATATCTAATCACTTTTTTAATATCTATGTAACCAAACATTAAAGCTGATAAAATATTAGATCAGTGTTATTAATTAATTATAATATGAGAAAATAGCGATATCATAGAATCATGCCATGTGGAGGTGTAGACAGAGGGCCCGTCTTACGGTCTCGCTCTATTGATGGCAGATTACTAACAAAATCTGTAAGGTTTTTGAAGTAGGAACATGTAGATCCTATCTAAGGTCATTAATTGAAGGATTCACTAGATGGCAGGGTTTTTGCCTATGATTCTGGGTGACTTGATAATTCGTACTTATTTCTACCGCGAACCATCAATTCATCCATCGCCATGTTTTAGTTTGAAGTTTAAAATAACCAGTATTATGAACGCATCTGTGCATATAGTACATTAAAGTACATTTCATACACAGTTTGAATTCAGTAATGTAAACAAACACTAAAGAAAACACAAATACGAAGAAAAGCTATTAAGCCGCTAGTATCAAGTATCAACAATAAGTTTGGGACTCATAATGATGAAAACAATTTCATCGCTTTATGGTGGCGCCTATTACACCGACGTGTAGTTTTAAAAGTTAAAGTATGCTACTTACTAAATATAATATTCCTTCTAAATTTAAGTAGTTTACATTAATGTATTCAAGCAAATAATTACTGATTTTTTTTTAAATGATCAGTCCCAAGTCTCGATCAAAAAGGACTAAAATTGTAGATGTTTAATTGACAATAAACTTATATTTAAAGTTAACAGTTAACAACAATACGAAGCTATAACTAAAAACCGCTACCTTCATTTTCCAACGAGCACACAGTCAATCTGATGGTGAGTGGATGCCCATAGACATCTACATTTCTGTATTTGATCAAGACTCAAAATGCAGATGGGTTGCCACCAGAAGACTAATATGGAATGCCTCGTTTCGAGGAAAAAGGTCTCCGGTTCTCTGCACTGACTATTTGAACATTACGCTGCTATTCTAAAAGAGGTCTGATGCAGTTTTAATATTCTGTCAAACAAGAGGAGGATTTTAACAAAAGCTATAGATCTTCGACCCGATCGCACAATATCAGTAGCTTAAACATGTTGCGTCCTGCACAATTTTGTAACAACTAAAGATGGATTCTGTTTTGATGACACTTCATTTGACAGTCCAATACAAGGTCTACAAGGAACAGGTCTAAGAGTAACCACATGAGTCTGGAAATATGTGATTATTTTGCTAGATATTTTTCATCGCCACAAGGTTCTATCCCACGGCAATATCAAGTTATCAATAGACAGAATGATGTTTAAAGAGAAATAATTATATAGCTACTTGATTAAAATAAATAAAGTATATTATTTACTTACATCGACTATTTTTTCTTTATTGGTGAGGGTTTCTCAATCCTCCAAGAGTTTTTGGTTAAGCCTCCCAGGTATTTTTTTCATAATTTTATATGAATAATCTGGCAATGTTTTTGCATAAAGATTTGGATGAGACTTCATTTCTATAATTTATACTCCGAGATCTACAACTCACGACATAAACACAAACAAAAACGTCCGACTGCTGAGCGAGGGCGCGGCGCAGTGAATGCGGCAACGGCACTTTTTTAACTTTTTTAGCGCTCGTGTGAATAATAATAAGAAGTTTCATATGGTCTTTTTCTTTTTACGCCCAACGCCCAGCGCTGAAAATACAACACCGTTCAATAAAAAAGCGTTGCGTTTTAAAAGCGCTGATGTGTGAACATACATATACTTGAGAATGAATTTGTTTCAACGCTTTTTTAACAGACGTTAAAAAGCTCCCGTGCAAATAAGGCCTAATGCTGCTATGTTTCGTGTGGTGATTATAGAGAACCAGAGACGCTTTTTACTGGAAACTGGAGTGATAACACATCTGCGTTTTTGATTCTCATTTGAGGATTAAATATAGATGTATGCAGGCCGCAGCATCTACTTACCATCAGGTGGACTGCGTGCTCGCTTATTACCCTTATTCTATAAAAACAATACACGGCCTAAAGACTCCTGCATCATCACCTCATTCAGTTAAGTGGCCACCCTACCCTCCACTTTCCTGTTAAAATTACATTACGGTGTAAGAAGCGGCCTACTTTATTCCAAACTCTTACCGTGCTACCTCTTTCCTTTAAACGACATATTCACATTTAAATTTATTGCAAAACTTTGAATAGTTAGGGCTGGACGAAGCAATATAAGTTGCTTTCATTGTTTCCGGTCGTAGAAAGTTGGCACTTTTAACGATTTTCCAAGTTAACAGTAGTCTTTAAACAATTTACTACTTTAAAGAAACTAAATATAAAAAGAAAAAGGGAAAAACAATAAAAAAACTAAATATTTCTCTACTCGGGGCTCGGAACCAGGAACTTGAGGAAGTCGCCTGATGCAATGAGGCATGTATTGCCGCTCTGAGTAATAGGCTATACTTGCCGACAAAAATCCGGTTCAAATAAGGATTCAGTATTATCTTTCACTGTTTTCATCTTTTAAGGCAAATAAATTTTACTAATACTTAACACTTTATATCAGAGATGTAGGAAGGCGTATTTGTCGTAATTAACTTGATGGGCGTTTCCACAGACTGAAATAATCGCATACTCTAAGAATACTGTTCTAGAATTACTCAGACTACCAAACAACGTATACTATTAAACACTTACCCCGTTGCACTACTAAAATTAACGTTCCACGAATATAAGCTTCTATTTAAAATATATAAGGTTCACTGATACACAGTTTTAGTATATTTAAGAAAACCTATACGTATTTAAACTTTGAATGTCTACAAGAATTACCGCTACGTAGTACTATTATTTATTCTGTCACCACTTGTCGCGAACTCGGCCATCCGCCGTTCGTCCCCAGTTCCTACCCTCCAATCCTTTTATCAAATTCGGAAACAAGTCCCATCTCAATTATCAAGTTAATTGCCACATTTTTTATATCATCAAAGTACATATTATTCATTGTTAAGGTAGATAAATTTTTGACAAAGTAATGTTGAATTTCATAATCTTTATTAATATTGGCCCCATTGAATATTGTAGGGCACCAAAAATTCGAGTTGACTCTAATAGACGAGACCGAGCGGGCATGCCAGGGCGTAGGTATCATCCTTTCAGAAAGAATGGGTCAATATGTGTTTAAAAAAGTTTTCTTTCTCGCGCAACTTCTTTGTGGAACTAGTTATAATATAAATGAACATATCTATGGAGTATAGAAGTAAGGAGTACCAACTCCCATAGTAGAATAGTTGAAAAAGTATCTGTAAGCAGTAAATGACGGTGTAAAAACTTTCCACAACAGCGCTGGAGTAGCTACTGGGATGAAATGTACTTAGCAATTGTCGACGGTTTAAGTGTGCTGCTAATAATTTTATTTAGTAAATATAACCTCGAAAAAGTCGTCTATCCCACTAATATTTTTCGGTGCGTTCTTTAAAATTTACCCCGTAGTTATAGAGCCGCCACCCTTATTTAACGGTTTTCTATGGACACTTTTTAATACACAGTCTGTACTCGTTACTTCTACACTCCATAGAACATATGGTTGATAATAACCCCTGGGAATAAATTGGTTGCTTCCAAGCTGTTTCTAAAACAAATTTTATAAATAGTTTGTACAATCTTTCATAATGTAAAATTTACTTTAAAAAAATTCCGGTGGGTTTCTTGCTAGTTCTTCCCAGGACAGGGGGTTTTTCTGAACCAGAGATAAAGTACAGAATTACTTTCAATTATAATTACATACATTTTTAGTGAATAAAACATTTTCCCTTATTATTAAGAACGCAATCGACGAATCGATTATTACGCCAATTTTGGTCAATCGCTTATGTTGTGTTAACTTAGAAACTGATTATACATTATGGTAAACAGAGTACTAATTTAATACCCTATTTGGAGCGGAAACATTGTGTATAGATATAATTAGTATTTCACACCTGTTTCTCCCTCCACTTAAGCTACGTCTATGACATTAAGTCCATAAGTACACATTTTTAAAATAAAAAGTTGATTAAACCGCATATTACCGATATTAGATATATTATTTATGGCAAAAATACTTTTTTCAATATTAATCAAACAACGAAGAGCAGAATTTATTTCAGAAAGAATATTCGCACTTTGTTCTACTTACCTTGTTAAACTACGACTACATAAGATAGCTAATATTCTTTTTCTAATTCACCCACTCTACCGAACGCTTGTAGAGAAAATTGGAAAACTTTTCCTATCAAAGATTTCAAATTAATAGTATTTTATTGAAGATCAGGAGAAAGAATAACTTTTAGTATTATAGAGAAAAACTTTACCATTTTTTGGAGATCTTATAAAAACTAATTCAGAATTAGGATTCTAGCAAGAAACAACGATAAATTATATTATTAGATCACTACAACAGTGGCTCGAAAATTAAGCTTATTTTTTGTATAAAAGGTGGACAAACAAGTATACGGTACACTTAATTGTAAGTGACTACTTAGCATCGCCCATATACAACTGCAACATCAGAGGAAGCTTTTTTGTTGAAGATCCATTAGTCGATCGTCAAATAAGCACTGTAATTACTAATTAGCCGACTCCACGTCGTGCGAAGAAAATCACTACTAGTAATCGCACAGTGGTGAACCGCCAAGCATACAGATAGTGTGAATGGTATCGCGAATTGTATCGGGATATGCGATGGTATAATTTATTGCTAGGAATTAGTAGAAACAATTTCTATTAGAAACTACTCCACTCTACTACTCTACTCCCTATTTTATAGTATTTACAACGCGTTGCAAATTGTAAATGCGATAAAAATGCACAAGAATCCAACAGCTCTCCCGTACAGAGAGAACTCGGTCATAGAAAATTCAGGCCACTCTGCGC